GGGGGGGGGGGGGGGGGAATTGGAAAACGGGCCCCGGTGGAGCAAGACGCGTGGGTGACCTTGTGCTTGTGACAGGACGCTAATGCCACGGAAGCGCGAGAGGGGACAAGCGGGGGCCGAATCAGGAGGGGCGCCCTACACTCACCCCAAGCCGCCAAGCAGTCGATCTGCAGCGGCAGTTTTTCCAGGATCGGCACCGGCTCGAAGGCGTCGTGCATGATGGCGACAGCCTGGCCTCGGTCGCTTCTCCTCGGAAAGGACGCGCAGTTGTCTGCGGGCCACCGAGGAGGGCCCGGACGACCACCGTGCCGCTAAGCCCAGCCAGCTACAACAGCCGAGCCCGGGCCGCTGCAACGTTTCCGGCTTCCTCTTCACTTCCGTAGCCAGGCTCCACCTCCGAGCAAGTCTCGCAGGCCGGTTTTTCCCCGGCTTCCTTCTGCGAGCAGGGCCGGCCGCTTGGGCGCCCGAGGGCCGCGGGGTGCTCCCCTTCGCGGACCAGAGCCCACAGCTCCAGGTTCCAGCCCCGGCGATTACGTTAAGCAGCCACCTTTGAGTAGTTCTTGGTGGAGCCCATCTTGGGGTCAAAGCAGGCATTGGGGAGAATGGGGGTGTGTCGTGGGACTGAGCGAGCCTGCAGCAAAAAGGCGACTTGGCGACTCTAACTCGCAAACGCACGGACTGTAGGATAGTGTGTACCCCTGCGTGATCCGAATGGGATTCTGCAATAAACCTTTTGAACATTAAGCCACTGCTTTTCTGTCCCGAATTATCGTTTGTGCGTTTAGTGTAAACTAGCTTTAGCGTCGTGTCCGTACAATTCATTCCTGCAAGTATATTCCAAGGAAATCCACTGTAACTCGCCCACAACTGTGGGTGGATCATAAAGAAACATCTTTTTACATAACGGCTGGTCTCCAGAGCTTCTGCCTTTTTTCCTTCTCCCGGGTACATGCAATTATTTCACTCAGCTATAGAAGAACTTACGTTGGAGTTTTTTGATTTCTTAAATAAATTCTCCTAGTATAGTGTCTGAATTCCTGTGTTTAGCATCACTTTACCATCCTCAGGGTCAGAGATATGTGCTGCAGTGTAACGAATATTTTAAAAAGCAAGTACTGTAATGCACCTCTGTAAGTAGATTGCTGGCCTTTTTATTCTGAATTTTAAAAGATGAAGTGAAATTTTTTAACTGGCCGATTTCTAAAAGGCAGTATTTGGATTCCTCTTTAAATGTATGTAATGTATAGTTGCAAGTTATCAATCTCCCTGGTTGTGCAACTGAGATAATAGTAACCAACCAGAAATAAGAAAAAATTGCAGTGAGAAAACATGGAAGGATTAAGAATGGAACATGAAAACTGATGGACTCCTGTAAATTATGTGAATGAGACAACTTAAACAATTAAACTTTGTGGAAGCAACAAGGAAATACTATATTTCCATTTCTGAGTATTGACAACAATGTATAGAATATAGAATGTATAGAGGGAGCAATAATTATTTACATACGCTGCTTGATCAAGAATTAATTAAATTAGATTGAGTCATGACATTTAACTAAAGGATGAAGTAGTTAATTAAAAAAGTCAAATTTGTTATGGCCACCCAATTCGGATGGACTCTGGGTAGCGTACAAAACAATAAAAATGCAGTAAAAATTAAAAACGTAAAACCACACAAACAGCCTGGACTAAAACAATCATAAGGGCAACAAAAAAATGTAATAGGGGCCTCAAAAATACATTAACCCCAGGCTTGGGACCAAAGGCAATATTCAACAATATTAAAAACATTCTTAGTTTAAAAATTATTTAAGACATTAAATGGTTTATTTATTTATATTTCAAGTTTGTCACTGTCCATCTCACTGCAGAGCAACTCTTGAGTGGTTTACAGTAAACAGAATAAATAAAATAGAATAAATATTAATTGAAATACATTTCAACAATTTCCTATACAAATAATAAACGTCTTCCAAGAAGCTGATGTTAACCAGAAGTTATTAGACTCAGGGAGCATCTTCTAGGCGCCAGCCACCCCCAGGATTGGTTATATCCCTTCTTGCCCCATGCAAGTTGGCAGAGCCAGGTCTTCACCCCTTTCCAGAAGGCCAGGAGATGACTAGGGCATGAGTGACTGACCAGGGGGCCTCCTGATCCAGGACAGGGTGCAACTGGCGCACAACACGAAGTTGAGCAAAAGCCCTCCTGGCCACAACTGCCATCTGCTCCTTGAGCAGGAGTAGCGAGTCCAGGAGGACCTCCAGGTTCCGCCCCAGGTCTGTCTGGGGCAGTGCCACCCCATCCAGAACCAAAGACGGTAAACTCCTGAATACAGAGTTTAATAAGGGAATGAATTATAGGCTATTGTACTTGCCTCATAGACCAGGAGTTTTTCCACCTAGATGTTAATTTTAAAATAAAAACCATTTTGGATTAGAATATGGGCAATGCAGGCAAGTAAGTTTTTACTCACTGATCTTTTGTGGGGAGGGGAGGACAGAATCATCTAAAATTCAGGGTCATGTTTTTGAGAAAATGTGATAAATGGCTGAGGAAATATTTTCATTAAGACATAATTCTGGAAACTTAAAATATTAAAGTGTTACATCTAATATTTTCTATTCTTACTGCTAGTGGTTCTCCAGCTTTTCACAGAAAAGCCTCCCCAGGACTTCTAGGATTCTTCTAAGGAATGCTCCTTAGGATTTTCCAACTGAAGATGTGAGAAATTTTGGACCAGAAACCTTCCAGTACATACATGCCTGTTTCTGGGTTAACAACTGCACCAGGTTTTTGACGTTTTAAATGCCAGGGCAAAAATTAACTTCATTTAAAATTGAGCATAGTTATGTCTTAATAGTTTTCTCTATCACATTAGAAATTATAATTTAGCAACAAGTTTAGTGATTTCTAAAGATTGTGTGCAACCTGCCTCTGATATCTCAAGTTGTACAAATGTAGCATATGCATATCTATGGAGCTCCAGCTGCTTCCAATAATATTGTGCATTGTTAACCATTATCTTGACATAGGTCCTTCATGTGTATACAAAATATACACCAATATTTATTTCATATTTCACCCAAACTCTAATAATTAAAAATGATTGATTCTAAAATTATGGATAATGTAAGCATAGTAAAAGAGGAGTTTCCATTTTAAGAGGTTTGGACACTGAAAGGGTTAACACAGTTAGTTTGCCCTGATCCAGAAGACTCAAATGCAGAAGAGAATACAGACTCTGCTTTGTCTTTTCTTCTCAAGACCGGCTAAAAGGAAGGGGAAATCCCCAACTGATAGCAACAGGGCTGGATCTAGTGAACAGCAGGTCAGGACCAATGAAGCTACTTCTGGTATAGACAGACTTATTTCCCAGATCGAAATCTGGGCTGACTAATCTTGGTCTGGTGGGTCTGCATGTGAGAGAGACAGAGGGACCCCATTCCTGGGGCTGAAAGACCACACCATCCCTCAATTGGCCTCTTCAGACAGCACTTATTCATCTGTTCTTCTTTTAACTTTATTTTACATCTCTGACCTTGTTAAATACAATAATTTAAATTCTTAATAAAGCAGAGGTGCTTATTCTACTCTTCAGCACACCTTCCCGTATATACCTGGCAGTATACAGTTGGCTTTCCTCCAGATGTGAGGAGGGCTCAGCAGGAAGGAAGGTTTGGACACCGCTCATGGGCAGCAGTGGCACCCAATTTACCCCATTTCCTGTCCATGCACACCCAGTTACAGCAAGTCTGAAGTCACCTAACAGTTTGAAAGGCATGATACATAGTCCTAAGATCTAACAGGTTTTTTTCACTTTGTCTTAGCATACATATCAACCTCTAAATGGTCCGTGGCCGCATTCAAGAATAACGAAAAGCTAAAATTATTAAGGATGAGCAATGTGTATGCTGACTTCCTGCTCCCAGCATTTTGACTCATCCAACCAGTGACAGATGTGTTAGAATACAGAAGCCACTCACTATCTGAACCCCATTCCTGCTATTTTACCATAAAAAAATAAGACATTTCAAATCAATATCAGAAAGATACATTTAGCTGATTTCCAGTGTTTAAGAGGCAAAAAACAATTTTATTATACAGAACATAAATCTGCTAATTCAGACTGAATCAAATGAAAAAGTTCCTGTAAGATAGAGGACACCCTATTAACCAAACCACTTATACACTGTAAGTACAACTAAAACAAGCCCAGGAAGCAGAATTAAGCCAGTAGTAAATTCCATGTGAAAACCCAAGTCCAGTTTTTCCAGAAGAAATAACTATATCAAACATCTGTAAGACTCATGTTTTGGCACTAAACTTAGAAAAACACAATTTAAATTAAAAAAAAAAATCTACCTTCTCTCCCACTACTCCAGGCAATTGTAAAGAAAGGTTCAGCACACATACTTGCATAAATTATTGCAGAAGAGTATTTGTCATTAGGTTAACCTGAATTTGTTTCTGTTGCAAGAGTTGTTTATCCTCCCAGTAACAGGCTCAGTTTTCCTGGTAGTCTCTTTAAAAAAAAAACCTCTCAAATATTTGAGTATCTAAATATAATTATACAAGTGTATAGTTAAAAATGTCTCTTGGTGCAGATTATGGTTGGAGGGGAGGTAGGATGTAGAACTGTGGAAGGTATAGAGCTACTGATACTGTAACAAGATCCTTCTGGCCTTTGGTTAAAGTGACTTGAGGACTAAGCTGGTCTCCATTTTTACTGTGCGCTACAGCCAGCTCCAGATCTGAAGGAACAGTTGAGAAAGATCTCTTCTTTTGTGAGCCTTGGCTATGGTTTTACCTAAAGCAGTGAACAGCTGGCTGTAAAGTAGCTATTTTAAATACCTGATTGGGCCTCAGAGGAATGGTACTTCAAGAGTGTTAAAAGGCTGATGTATTGGCAGGGGTGGGGAGTTGGGATATCAGCCAAGTGCAACCAAGAATGCCACTTAACACCAGGCCCATTCAAGAACTGCAAAAAAGAATACCTCCCGTTTATACCTACTTCTTTTTACATAGATCATACCCAAGCAAATCTAGCACAAGTTAATCAAGTAAAGTAATGTAATCATTCAAAGCCAAACATAGCCCAACAGCAGCTTGCTGCTTACAAGGAATTTCAAATCAAGAAGGTTCCAGCTTTTGACAAGCTGCAATACAATAGTAAGTTCTGTGATGTTCAATGGTGTTTTCATTCAATTACTGTTCCAATTCAAATAGTTAACTGCTCATGCTCACACCTCATTGCCAGCAATGAGATAGTAACAAACTGGGAATTAAGTAATCACAGCTTCTAAGTACATTAAATTGAAACTAATATTTTTTCTACACTGTGGAATGAAAAAAAGTGCACTTAATTTTGCTAAGAATATTAAGCATCATAATTTCTCCCAAATACTTCTTTTGGAGTTTGTTGTTTTCCATAAGCAAAAGCTTTCCTTCAAAAACTCTCTTCTTTTTCCTAGCCAGACAGCAGAATCTTCAGACAATAGCTACTGCATCTAAGAGAAAAGGCACTGATCCTGATTCACAGATTTCTTGCACCCAGCAGGATGTTGCATACATATTTCTGTATGCAAAGCACTTTTACAGATGGTTGATGATTCTGTCAGCTCTGACAGTGTAAGTCCTCCAAGGAAAGTGGATAGGGATAGGAATCAAAACCCCATTTATAGTCCCAGGTCCCAGATATTGGATACTGGAGTTATTATTTGCAGCATCTTACTGAATACACTGTGCTGGAAATTATCTACAAGCAGAGGTCGTTTTTGGCTTGTTTGAAGAAACTTCTGCACATGAATCATCCTCACTGGTTTGGAGAAACTTCCTATTTTCTCCCACCCCATCATAGGTAAATCATGGGATTTAGATCTAGTGATGAATTAAAAGTTGCTGGGCCAGTTGTTAATGAGTTTTAACTTAAATACTTTAAAAGAATTTGCTGCAATAAAAGACATTTCCATGGTTTAAATACCACACTGGCAGCAAACAGTGCAAATGCAAATCTTTTCATGACTGAAATTCCCTCCATGCTGATCCCACAAAAAATTCCCTCTGACAACAATCTATAGTTCCAAAGTTCATGGAACACATCAGAGAAAGCAGCACTGGAACATTGCAAGGGAGACAAGGTTTCTTCCTTTCTCGAACACTCAGATAGCTTCTCCTGCAAGTTGTTTCATTTTTCATTCCATTTTGGATCTTTCAAAGTGTGTGATCATTCTCTCCTGCAAGATTAACAAATGGAACCCAATAAAGTATAACATTTTACTTTTCTGAAATTAAAAAGCAAGCAAACATTATTAAACTAAATGCTGCTGCTCCTATAGTAAAGTTGTCAGTTTGCATACATTCTATTTCAGCACAGTAAAGTCAGCACAATGCAACTTTTATCATACATGGGATGTACATTTTGTTTGAGTGTGCTCTTCTAGGTGCAAGTTAAAGTTAGCATGTTCTAAACATTGACTTAAAGATAAAGCCTTTCAGACCTAGAAAACTGCAGAACTAAGCCCAATGATTTGTTCAAAAGAAATATCACATGAAACAGGTAAAAAATCACATTGCAATGGGACATGAAATTAAAAACTGTAGCATACAATAGCAATGCCAACTCTATTGCTATTTGCTTCATATCAGAAACAGAGAATGAAAAAAAATTGCTAAGAATGCATAATAACTGCTTTTTAATGGCACACTGGAAAATATGCAAACCACAAATCATTTATAAATCATAATTTGAGCTGCATTCTTCAATTCCTGCAGTGTCTTCCCATTTTCCACATCTCACATATTCATTGTCATTATCTTGAAATATCTCCACAGCACTGCCCCACTATATCTATGCAAATATTGTCATCATATTCCTATCCCTGTCCATCCACCATTATAACCTACCTAAATGGCATTGACTCTCAAAAAATTCTATACATTTTCCTTTCCATTCATTGCACCAACTTTCCTCAATCAACTCCCATAACCCCCAGCTGATATTTCAGTAAATATGTGCTGACTGGGAATTATGGGAGTTTTACTTCAGTACACATCTAATGGACACCCTTAAGAAAAACTGCATTATAACTAGAGCTCTCCAAATTCTCTTCAAATCCCTTCTCAGAAAAAGTCCACAAGTCACTTGGCTGAACTGTTTCTTATTCCTCATTCTCCAGTTGAAACTGATATTCTGTATTTTAAACTGCAATTATTCACATTATCTATAATTCCGGTCTTCAGCATCACTGCAACTTGACATACTAGCCTTCCTTTCCCTTTTTCCATGTGCTGTCTGCCCCCAAGTATTCCCATTTATCCTAAGAAGCAGAGAAATGAGAAATCTAGGTTTGCCTTAGAAGGGACTATGATCCTTTAAAGCTCCAGGGGCACTGGTGATACTGTCTAATATAAAACAGTAGCAACAGCTCTATATCTTTAAGATTATGGGAAATATGATTTGGATTATCATTTAGAATGCTTATCTCCTTATTAGCCCCAGCACTTTCCAAACAGCATGCAAAAAATTCTCACAATAAATTCACATTAAAAATAGTCTCAATACTGTACTATATTCTGTATCCTATCCATCAAATACCAGGTTTATTTATGTTAAATAATGCAAACAAGTCTTCCCCTACCAGCAGTTGGCAACTGCCAGGTATCCGTTTCTGCTCATCATAGGATGGACAATTCATATTTACAATTCTAAAGGCTGGTATTAGACATTTTGAGTGAAATAACATTCTCAATTTGATGTTTTTCACAGAAAGCTAACATGGAGTCTAAGATATATTAGACTTATTCCGGTTCAGATTTAATTCTCTCCCCACCACACACACCCAGACACAGAGAAAATTAAGGTTTGTTGTAAAAATAACTAGTGGTTGGGTGTCAAGGGGGAGTTGCAGGGGAGGGCTAAAGCATGCCACTCACAGGTTTTCTGCATATAGACCTCAAAACAGGTATCTCTTATGAAATCTTTGGCTAAAGTATTAAATAGAATTTCCTTTTTATGTTTAGTAGTTCCCTGTTGCACTAACTGAAACAGTTAAAGCATTCCATTTCTAAAGAAATTACTGGAGTCGTTTGCTTAATTCTTGGCTCATGACTCTTCAGTCATGTCACAGGACCTGAGCTGTTGCTTAAGGGTTATTTACTGACCTCATCTGAATCCAGTAGTGCTGGCAGAGCCCTGCAATTGAGAGGGAAAGAAAAAACACAGTATAACAAAGAGAGATTCATGCTAGCCGTGATTGCTGTCATGCTAGCATGAAGTATGTATGCTCACCAAAATTGTGATTCAGAACGCAGGAAAAGAAAAAGCACAAAATTAGAGAAAACCTTGAAATTTTCTTTCACTGAACATTAAGCAAAATTAGCAATAATCCATATTAGCCACATAGACAAGGATTTTTTTTTTCAGGCCCAGGGCTGCACTTGACCACTGGGTGCCACATGGGTGGAACAAAATAATAGGTAAGCCCAGAAAGAGAATTATATTTGATTTAATTAAAAATGAAAATAATTAAATATAATAAATATTTCTGTTTGTGTGTTTATTCATTTTTCCTTCCTTCACCAATTTGGTGGTTAACGCTTGGGGATGCACCCAAAGCTTCAGGGAGTCACATGTGGCCTTTAGACCTCAGGCTGAGTATCTGTGACCTCTTGGGCATGGAGCATCCTGAGGTCACATTGCAAAAATAGGGCTGCAAAATGGCCTAATTATTTCAAAAATAAGGTGGGGATGGGAGCAGGGGGCCTCTGGAAAATAAAAGTGCTTCCATTGCCACCCTACCCTCCACACAACTCAGAATGATGCTGCCAAAATGGCTGAATTTTGGCAGCATGATTTTGATCCACTGTAGGCAGGGTTTGGGAGTTTAGTGGTAAGAATGATAGGCTTTCTGTTCCTGCTTTAACCTGCTTCAAATCTTCAAAATAATAAGGGCTGCATGATTTCATCCCATCTCTTTTGGCAACATCATCATAACACTACAAAATGTGGGGCAAAAAGTTACAGCACCCAACCCAGGGGATATTGTCCAGCTCTAACAAAGACCGCCAGGATTCCAAAAAGCCTCCCAAAGTTTGTTTCATCAAGTAAAAGCAAGCTTAAACAAGAACAAGGACAAATTTACAGTCTATATTAGAATCTGATACAGTGGGGCAAAAAAGTATTTAGTCAGCCACCAATTGTGCAAGTTCTCCCACTTAAAAAGATGAGAGAGGCCTGTAATTTTCATCATACTAAACTCAACTTGTCGTGTTTGGAGGAGAGAGCTAAACTCAACTTGTCGTGTTTGGAGGAGAGAGCTAAACTCAACTTGTCGTGTTTGGAGGAGAGAGCTAAACTCAACTTGTCGTGTTTGGAGGAGAGAGCTAAACTCAACTTGTCGTGTTTGGAGGAGAGAGCTAAACTCAACTTGTCGTGTTTGGAGGAGAGAGCTAAACTCAACTTGTCGTGTTTGGAGGAGAGAGCTAAACTCAACTTGTCGTGTTTGGAGGAGAGAGCTAAACTCAACTTGTCGTGTTTGGAGGAGAGAGCTAAACTCAACTTGTCGTGTTTGGAGGAGAGAGCTAAACTCAACTTGTCGTGTTTGGAGGAGAGAGCTAAACTCAACTTGTCGTGTTTGGAGGAGAGAGCTAAACTCAACTTGTCGTGTTTGGAGGAGAGAGCTAAACTCAACTTGTCGTGTTTGGAGGAGAGAGCTAAACTCAACTTGTCGTGTTTGGAGGAGAGAGAATGCTGAGTTGCATCCAAAGAACACCATACCTCTATGATGAAAATTACAGGCCTCTCTCATCTTTTTAAGTGGGAGAACTTGCACAATTGGTGGCTGACTAAATACTTTTTTGCCCCACTGTAACTGGCAGCCTAAAAGGCAAAATCCAGAAGCTACACCCATTCTGGATATTGCAACTTGCGATATTTCCTTTATTTTCAAAATTACTACTTTAGTGCTTTTCCTTTAAGTGTAATTCTTATGTGTAACTCAAACTATAGATACTTACACATCAGTCACAGAAGAAGGAACATTCTCTTCTACCCATTTCAGATCATCTTCTTGCTACAGTTTTTAAAAGTCAGGTGATTAGTGGATGATTGTGCAATTAAAAATTATGGTACTTTTTTTCTGTGATGTTTACATTCATTCTAACAATACAAAGCCAAAAAGTATCTCCCCCATAGATTTTTCAAATAGAACATCTCATTAACTATATCTGACACCTCTTCACCTCTTTCTATTTCAGAAGAGCCCGTAAACATTCTACTTTATTACATTATATTTAAAATAACCCATCATTTTAAAAATATATGCTTAATTGAATTATTGTTTCCTTTTAAAGCATGTTAAAGAACATATAGTATCCAAAGTGCTTTAATTTATTATTCATTAGACAATTTCCATTAAATAACACCTTTAATTCTAAAATAATTAGTAATTTGGACATTACAGGTTATTCATATACAGATAGTCCCTGTTTAATGTCCATTCATTCAGTGACCATTCAAAATTATGACAGTGCTGAACAAGGGGGACTTAAGACGGGTCTTTGTAGTTTCAGCCATCGCAGCGTCCCCGTGTTCACGTGATCGTGATCTGGGGGCTTGGCGACCAGCTTGCAATTACAACATTGCAGTGTCCCCCGGTCATATGATTATCATTTGCAATCTTCACTGTCATCTTCCAACAAGCACAGTCAACAGAGAAGCCGGTGGGAGGTCGTATATGGCAATCACGTGACCACAGGACGCTGCAACCATGTAAGATTTGCCTAACAGCAGCAACTGGGACTGCTGCAACTGCCGTTAAATCAGCATAGTCACATGAAGTCACACTTTATGACTCCATCACTTAGCAACAGAATTGCCGGTCTCAATTACCATTGTTAAATGAGGACTACCTGTATAGCATCCAAAGTGCTTTAATTTATTCTTTGGATAATTTCCATTAAATAATACCTTTAATTCTAAAATAATTAGTAATTTGGACATTACAGTTTATTCATATAGTTGTATTTTTTTCATTACACATACTAGGGATGGAAGATACTTTCTAAGAGTTAGCATAACATATTCTTGCCATAAGACATTTAAAAAACCATGAGTCTAAGTGTAAGTTAAAAGGGACTCGTCTTTGCATCTCCCTTTTTTTAGCATATCTTAGATTAATCCCAATGCTCTTTCAACAACTGACATCACTCAAAACATAATTGCTGCAGTTTATTAGAAGTAACATTTCACTAATGAGCATCTTAACACATTATTCTTATCTCTTCCATTTTTCCAGCTTTAGCTAAGAAAATATTAGCTAAGAACTTACTGCTTTGCTGGTTTTAGGATTTCCATTTGATTCTTGTTTTGAAGTTCTCATTTTCATCCCTTCTGTGTAAAATATTGGGGGAGGAATCTTACTCAAGAATGCAACACTTAGTAACGTTGAGTATATAAAATATAATATATAATATACATTCCTCAATGTTTAATCTATTTCCCACACTCAGAACAGGCTTAAAAACTCAACTGTTTTATAGAAAGGTAGAATAGAATGGGCTTCTGTGGAGGCAACTCATGAGAAAGGTAACACAGGCAAAATTATTCAGTCTTAAGGCCTGGCTTTCAATTCTGCTTATCTTCTGACTTGCTGCTATGATTGCTTCTATAACCAGTATGAGATCTTCAAAGGGACAAAAGCTGCCTAAACTGCACAGAAACCACAGGTCTAGCAATGTTGTTGGCCCACTTCAGCTACCTTAGGAATAGAAGCTCAGCATCTAGGACTGTCAGGCCCAGCCCAAGAACAACGGTGAAACAGTCCAGTTGAGTTAAGTTCCTTATAGAGAGAATCTTGCCAGACTAAATCTATACTACTGCAACTAGTGGATATACCTTGGGATATTCTAGGGAGTGGCTATCTTGAACTTCTTATATTTCCCATGCTCCCCCTATGGACTGTGTTGTCTTTTGTCTCCTCTCCCTTCCTGGAATGCACCCCCTCCTTCTTGCTCTCTGTTGCTATCCTTGCTCTCTGTTGCTATCCATCACAATAGCCTTGCTCTCTGTTGCTATCCATCACAAGGGCCTAAGGAAGTATCCAACTTGCCTATCACCAGAGGCACTGACATGGAATTAGAGAAATAAAAGCCTGCCAGACATACTAAACAGTTCTATGTGGAGACAGGTGAGAAAAAATGAGGGATCTGTTTTAATCTGTCCCAGTTCCATTGTGTATCCAAACAGCTTTCCTGAAGATATAAGGATGTATTTCTTAGTTGCTGATCAGTATGATAAACTTTAGAAGTTTACTGTTCCCTGGTTCACATGACATGATAAATCATAATATGATATTTTTGGTTTTAATTTAATATGTGCAGATGCAGCCAGTGGTGTATTATGCAGTTATTAAAACCTAGTTCAGCATGATGTGTGAATCCAGTCTATCTCATTCATTTCATAGATGTGTGACTCAAATATAACTATGTTTTCAGCTGCTGCTTGAATTCCAGTGTCAGTGCAAAGGCTGGAGGGACTACCCCATGAAATAAAATTATGTCTCTTGGGGACAAGAGTGCAAGAAAATTGTTTGTAATATTATTGGTGGCCCCTGTAGCCCACAGAAGACTGCAATAATGAAAGCTAATTAAAACCCAGAGTAGGGTAAATGGATAATAGTGATTATATATAAAGTTACAGATCCACCCTTTTAGAATAAAAGTTACATTCATAAAATGGAGATACATTTTTCTTACCAAAACTCTCGTTCAGCATCGGCTCTTTCTGTTCATCCTCCTCATCTTCTTCAGACAATGGTGAAAAAGCAAACCTTTCAGAAAACAAAGTAACAAATAATGGTTCCATCAGATTAAATATAGAATGTTTTTACAGTTTCTTTAAACTTGTGATATATTTAAGATTGTTTCTACTATCTAAATCTGAAAGTACTGGAGAGCAACAATAAACAGATTCCTTGGACTGATAGCTCCACAGTTCTATCTACCAATGTTATAGTATAAATGAAGATACTGTAATACCGCTGGTTGTTGGCAGATGGCCTCCAAAGAATCATGATGACAAAAAGAATCATTGAGAATAACAGCCGCCAGATGGCATCATCAACCCATAGCTCCTGCCAATCCTGTTAACAGATGTAAGATATTAAATGATAAAAAGATCCATTTTTGAAAAGAAATGCCAACATTTTCAGCAAGGCAAAGATAAAGTTAAATTTGACTCCTAATGACTTCATGGACATGTCCATGTTGTCTGCTTAGCAACAATAAAGAAGTGTTTTTGTTTGCACCTGCCTTCTCCCAAGATGTGCTCTTGCCTTCCCAGACCAGCCTACAGCGCTGATATTCCCTATCACATCCATCCAGGTCTGACCCAGCTTAGCTTCCAAGCTGAAAAAGGTTATTCAATTCCTAGCTACCTAATTAGCAAAACCAGAGTAGACCTGACAAAAAAGAGACAAACTCACCGACTGACAATCCATCAGCTTGAATTTCAAAGTTGTCCAGATGATAAAAACAACAGATGCTAAAAGTTTTTTAAAAAATAAGAACACACACATAGTAAAATGTTAGCAAATGAGACTAAATTGCAAAACTCCTCAATGAAGTATTTTATGTAATTATTCCCTATCATCTATAACCAATTCATATTATTATACTTGTGGTCATCAGCTTGCATTTCTTGAACCCTGCTCTTTATTCACTGAAAATAAAAATCAAGAAGAATGAAAAGTTTTACAAAAACAATTTTACCCTTAACTTCCTATTCAGTTCAATAGACCTAAGGTTACTTCTGCATCCTAGAATTATAAAATAAGAAATAAGTAAATTTTGTCCAAAAGATTGGAAAGTATCAGTAAGCCATAAGAATGCAATGTTTTAATCTCCTTTCTGGCACAATTTTTACTTCCTTTATCTGCTTCATTTAAGCACCATTATTATTTATTTATATAATAAACAGGCGCACACCCCAAGACAGATTGAGCATGAAATGCTAAGTACCCCAGGATATCTGGTTCAACAATGTTTATTTTTAAAATTAGGAATAATTTCTAAAACTCACCTGCTATTGCCAAGATGAGTGTATTGGTGAAGTGCCGGTAAAGAGAGAGCTTCACAACGTTCCTCCTAAGTTTCAGCAATTTCATTGTTTGAGTTAAACTGATAAATATGTATAGAAAGTCAAGGAAAGATTCAGTATATATACATTTATGACATAATCATACTCTGGTTTCTCTTCATATCTTATTTGACATCACCAGACATATTATTACCCAATTAATCCTAGGGTAGTGATGCATATAATAAACAACTCATAGAAATCTAAATAATATTCTACCTATCTTACACCCTGCCTCAGTGATCAGTTATCACCTTAAATCCCTGACACAGATGTTATTAAAGACATTTAGATCTGGTATTGCTCCAAAGGCTGTTAAAAATAATGAATAATCCTGCCTACATGAAATATGCACTAATAGAAGAGAGACTAGTCACATGGCACCCTATTTCCAAACTTTATAGTGCCAGTGTAAAATATTGTCCTTATGAACACTGTTTTCATCAAGTTTTATAGAGAGTATGCCAAGGGAAAAAATGAAGTTTTCTTAGAGAGTTCCATCTCTGGCGTAAAGGTCAAGTGTATGTAAACTCATTGGAGGATTACTGAAATGAGCACAGCAGTTCCCTTTCATCCATTGTTCTAAGCCATGGTTTGCTTAAGCATAATCAGTAGAATTAGATTGATTGCATAACATACAAAGCCCCAAATCAAATAAGTTATTGCTTAGTGCAATGTTGAATCCAATTACTGTGAGACCATGGCCCATCTAGCCTAATATTGCTTATGTTGACTAACAGCAGCTCTCTAGTATTTTAGACAGGAGATTTTCCAGTCCAACTTGGAAATCCTCAGGCTGTCTTTCCCAACTGGGTGATGTGGAACTTCAGATTTCAGAATTCCCAACTACCATGACCACTGAAATCCACACATCCGGTGGGTACCTAAATTAAGCTTAGATGTTTTTCTACAAGTGCTGCTATACTCTTTGCAGACATTCAGATTACAGTTACTGTATGTATCACCTACTAGAACTCAATGGCTCTACTGCAACAAGATCATTTCCAAGACTGGTAACTACTTCATAGATTGTGTTAATCATTCTGAAGATTTAGCTTTCACTAGCTTCTTTGGTCACCAGACTTGCAGTGAGCTGCTGAGCATTTTCACCCAGAAAAAAAATCCACTGAGCTCAATTGTTTTGTACTACAGCTGTTCCCCAACTACTGCCTTCCAGATGTATTGAAATTCAAAACTTGTCATGCTGAGTAAGGGATAAGAATGTTGAAATCCAACACATTTGGATGGCACCTAATTGAAGTGCCCTAGTAAAGGTACATAGGAGCAAAATCTTGAAGCATTATATTTGGGAAATAAATCAAATAACAACAAAAGCTGGCAGAACATCTAAAGTAGAATACCACCCAACATGAAAACCCAGCTCCAAATAAATTAGCACTCCACCAAATAAACCAGTGAGGAAGGATATCCACCAACAAAGGGCAGTATCTAGGAAAGCCAGTGGAATAAAAGCCAAGGAGGCAAGATCATTCTGTGCCTAGAGAGACAAAGAGAAAAAGGCATTGAGATCAAGGCAGACTGGAAGCATGCCTACAAAGGTAAGTTTGAAAAGACTGCACCCTAAAGCATAGACTTCTTACGTTACTATCTACTGAACACATTTTTTTTTGCTTTATTCCTAAAGAATAGGGCCAGTTATTACATTATTCTAATATAAAATGCTGTCTATTCACACACTCACTCTCTCTTTATTTATATATATATATGTACAGAAATGTGTATGTGTGTGCGTGTATGTGTATATATATATATGTATCACACACATATGTATACTTTACATATTTTATTTTACTGGATTTTATTCTTTCCCTTAAGAAGAGTACATGTCAGTCCTAGGACTTAGGTTCAGCTACACAAAATCCATACCTAAAAGGAACTGCAATCATTAATGCTGGATCAACAGATAGGAGAAAGAATGCTGAGAACGACAAATGTCACTGCTGCTACCTAACCCCCAAGCAGAAGGGAAGCACTTCTGGCTCCATCTTCTGCAGACTGGAATGACACTTCACAGTAAGCACAAACTTTCATTCTCTATCAGTGAAGGAGAACTGATACGAACAGATGTCCTAGAACAGTATCTCTACAAAGTGACCAGAAGCACATTACAAAACCTTCTACTGAACTGTGTGGCTAAGGGCCACATCCAAGGAGGCAAATATATCTGGTTTATAAGCTTCATAACCATAGAGTGGTTGGCCTCAGCAGCAGCCTTACAAATGTCCAGAAGGAATATCTTAGCTCTAGAGCTGCAGAGGCACTAGCTTTTCATTACAAAATGAAAAATGATACCTGCTGGAATAGATGTTAAACAAGCCTTGTAAACCAACAATATGCTGCCTAGACACTTTCCTGTTTTGATCCATTAGCTTGTAGGGAACAAACAGGCTATCAGAAGTGAGCATCCAGAGTACATTTTAGGTACAGCCAAAGCAACATGTGTACATCTTGCCTGAGTGAGATGAAACTGGGCAGGATATTCTCCTGTGATCTATGAAAGGTTGAATTAACCTTAGGAAAAAAGGGGAAGCCCAGCATGTTCAGACATGTACACATCTTCCTAAACCAACAAAGAACCACTTCTTTCAACTGATGTCACATTCCAGAGCTAGGAAGAGAATGCCAGGTGTGATGACCTTGGAAGACAGATGATTGCAGCAGGACCAATGTGAGGACCCTGAGGGCACCTGAGAAAGGAGTTCTCAGATCTCCAGCCTTCCACCCAATGGGCTTCACAGTTCTGCTACAGATGCTTTCAGTCACCAACAATGATTTTGGAAGGCCTGCCTAGTTAAAGGCCTAACAATGTAGGCATAATGCTACATATACATGTAAAAAGGATTTAAGAATCTAGGCATTACAAGCTAAACCCAGCCTAAGAGGATGATCTAGGAGCAAAAAAAGCAAATGTAGTTGTTGGCTACAGCAACAGAAGTAGAGTGTCAAGAACAAGAGAAGTCATAGTTTCTCTCTATTCTGTATTGGTCAGACCACATCTATATAGGTAGTTTTCGATTTATGACCATTCGTCTAGGAACCGTTCAGTTACAAAGGCACTGTAAAAGTGATTTACGGCCAGTCCTCACACTTACAACTGTTGCAGGGTCCCCATGGTCACGTGATCAAAATTTGGGTGCTTGGCAACCGGCATGTATTTACAATGGTTGCAGCATTCCAGGGTCATGTGATTGCCATTTGTGACCTTCCCAACCGGCTTCCAACATGCAAGATCTATGAGGAACCATGTGATTCACTTAATGATTGCACTGATTCTCTTAATGGCTGCCGCAAAAATGTTGTAGAATCAGGTGCAGTCACATGATGCCTTGGTTAATGACCGCACTGCTTAACAAATTTTCCGGTCCCTATTGTGGTCATAAGTTGAGAACTACCTGTAATAATGAGCAAATCTAGGCCCCACATTTTAGGAAGAACACTGACAAAGTGAAGCATGTCCAGAGCACAGTACCCAAGATGGTAAGTGTCCTGGAAGCAAAAACACTGGTGAGGAATAGTTGGACATTCGTCCACTGGAGATATTTAGGCAGAGGCAGGATGACTATCTGTCAAGGATGCTGCAATAGTGGATCCCTGCATTGGGTGGGGTGCTGGACTCAATGATCTCCAAAGACTCAACTCTTGCATTCTATGATTCAATGAGACGTTTGTTCTAAATAAATAAGGCACAAGTGGCTTGATAAAGACAGAAACTTACTGACATACTTTTGCCTGAAAAATGAGATGAAATAGATTTTTTTTAAAAACCCAGGGATTTTTAACCTATGACTTAGTTCAAAAACTCTCTGCAAGCAACACCTCTGACAAGAATCATCTCCCTTTTTCTAAAAGACTACCCAGGAGGGAGAGAAGATGACAGCAAGAAGTAGTAAAAAGAGGAGGAACGTGGATTGGCCTTGTCTGTTTTGGTTCTCCTGCCCAAATACATCCACTGACGGTTTATTGCCTAGGCAACGTGACCCTTGTTATCAAAATATCTCTCACTTCTAGTTGTATTGTGATGTGTCACACTTATGTGTGCCTTAAAAGATTAAACAGGTTATATTTTAGGCAAAACTAGCATTTTTGAAGAAAATCTAACCTTTTTCCATGCCTGCCCCACAGTGTTTCCTCCAAATCATTCTCATCCCCAGCTTTAGAAGTCAGAAAGAAAAATACGAGCAGAGTGTAGAGATTTCCTATCCAAATGCTTCTTTAGTGGTAAAAATCAAACTCTACTGCTACTATCCTCTTTGCAATATTATTGCAACATAACTCAGTTACTGTACTGTCAAACCTAGCTTGGTCCTAATAATCTGCCAAAAATATTCCTAGGTTTTCATCTGGGGCTTTTAGTAAAACAGATTATTATGATTAAAATATTTTTACCTAATTTTTCAAATAAACTAACGGCAACTTGCAATAATTATTCAGTATTGAACAGAGTCACGCATGAGTGATTTCACTGTAACTGGAACTATATGGAGCTTTTTCTTTAGAAGAGTTCAATGTTCTTATTGAAGCAACATGTGTTGTAATATTTCATATTGCAATAACCTGCAATATTAAATTAAACTGCCAATATCAGTTCGTATTGCATCCTGCCCTAAACAATTAAGAGACTGGAAGTTAAATATCTGAACTGCCAAAAAAATGTACTGTATAAAATTATCCAAATTTATATTTACATCACTCTGATTTAAAAAAAAAAAAACCCTAGCATTAATTGCCATGTCACATGACTTGCTATTTGCTCATGGACTAGGACTTCAACTTGCATCCCGTGAATATACCAAAGGCTGCTCTAAAGAATCCCATACTGTTTGAGAGCAGATTTGGAGGGTATGCAGGGATATGATGAAAGGGAAAATGTCTTTCACATGAAGATACTGGTTTATCAGCACACTCATATAATTGGATCCAGGCCTTAAATCACTTACTTCTATAGTAAAAAACATATATGGCCTATATACAATTTGCGCTTTCTGTTGATCTATATCAAATTACTTCTATCAACCTACCAATATTGCAAGGAAGCGGAAACAGATAAGCTGCAATGCTACAGACATATGAATAAAAATTTAATAATGCTATAGATGGGTGAATAATAACTTATTAGGATTTATTACTAAATAGATGCATAAGACTGAGCTGTTTTACAAGGATAACCTCAATCACATAGAGCATACAACTCACCATAAACTAACCATTTACAGCAAACACAGTTGGAGGAAAGCAAAGTAGTCTCAAGTTGTACTGAAATCAATGGAATTTCAGTGTACAGCTGAGAATGAGATTTATACTCTGATGATATTCAGATTTGTGAGAGGGGTCCTCTTTTTAACGCTCATCGTATTAGCAAGTCAGAAGATGGCTTTTCCAAAACTGAATCCTAAAAACAGGGAAGGGATGATCTGCAGATAATTTAACTATTTGTTCACTTTTTTTTCCAAATACATCTACAGTAGGGTTTTTCTCTGATGCATTAAAAATCCAGGATACATATTGCTATGATATAAATTAGAAACATAAGACATAATTTCTGAAAGGATATCCAATAAATAATACAGGAGTCAATGATAGACAGTCCGAAGTTAGCTACAACAGCTGTAATATCATGGAAAGACTGAAAAGGCATTAGAAAGAGAATTGGTTTTATATTACAAACATGATTTAAAAAAGGATTTTTAAACATGAATCAGCATAGGAACAAGAAATAATAGTCCTACTAGATACAAAATAAAACTCAATAGAACTTAATATACATATTGTATACTGAACAATATGCAGAAATAACAACCAGGCCAGGGATTGCCATGTGGCTTAGAAAAACTCATCCACTAGACACCCAGACTTGGGAATGTTAGTGGACCCAGAAGGCAGAGTTCAACTACACAAACTAACAATATAGTCAGAATTAACTTGTCCAACATCTGATAGCCCATGAAATACAAAAAGGGATACTCTTTTTAAACTCCTCTTAATAGGAAGTATTATCAGTCTTAATGAAAATTTGAAAGGTATTTAAAATGTCCACAAAATTATTTCTTAATAAATACAAGATAGAAAGGAATAAAAACAAGACTAAAATGATTAAAAACATTCTATTAAAACAGAACTGGTAGGGAATTAATGGTTGAGAAAAGCCAACCAAAAAGATCAATTTCTGAGAATCGCGAGCAACTTATTGGTGCTCATGTTGATACTGCAGAGAGGACATTATTCCACAAAAAGGTGCCACCCTGAAGAATGTAAACCATCAATAATTATTCAACAAATCTGTTATTTTACATTATCCAAAACTTTTGCAGCAAGCTAAGCCCATCAACTTCATGCATATGAGAGATACAAAGCTAGCAAAAATGATTACTAACCCCAGTAACTCTGAGGACACCTTCCATACCAGAAAATAATAAATAAAGGGCTCCAGCTGCAATTACTTTATGAAGAGTGACTCCCAGGCGAGGTCTGTAATGGGAATAAAAGAAGTTTAAAAGAAGGTGAAACCATATACTGGTTTCTCAAATGACAGCTGATGTTGCTTATCTAATGTATAATGTATCTAGCATTTGCCCATCAAGGAAATGTGAGCCTGTTACATTATTTGTAATTTGAGTTATTTTTCTAACTTTGCTGATATTTAGTGAGAAACTTTAAAAGAGGCTCCGTTTAATAGAAGCATGCTGGGCACTGAACAAATGTGGTAAGCTTATCTCAGGCAGGCTGCCTACACTCAACCTGCCCATTTCTGCATCCTATATTCCTCTCCCCAGAAGAGATAATAGAGGACACACAAGGTTGGGCCCAGAGACAATGTTAAAGTGTAGGGATATGCAAAATCCATCAATCCAGAAATGGAAATTCCATTACCCTTTGGACCATGCTGAACCTCCACTCAGACAATGCCATTCCAGGGGTGATTCAGCAGTTTCCAGAAGTAAATCACTTTCAGTTGTTTCCAGAAACTTCTGAATTTGTTTCCACACTTGCCCCCACAATACTGTGATTCAGGAGAAAACTCACCATAGTCCAGAGTTCTCCAAAATGTTTTGTTCCTAAATCATCAAATTTTGCATATCCCGCTCAAACAGCATTTCCCCCACCAAAAAGAACAGAAAAAAAAATAACATAATTTCCTACTGGAGAAGAGATTGATTATAACAGATTATCCTGCCGGTTACTCCCTCCCTCTTTGCAAGATGTGATGTATGTCTGTATGCATTCCCTTGAAAAGCTAGCAAAAGAGGATGGCTGACATTTTGTTGTTTTATCATTGCAAGTAAAGCATTTGGAGATGCCACTTGAGGGATTCCACATGTGTCACTTGAAGGAAATAAAGCATTTTAGGGCACAAGGATTACTCACTTTACTATGCCATATCCCAGACTCACTATGATAACAAGAATTCGAGCAAGGGAACGTTTCAATGCCGAAAGTAGCTCAGCCAGGATCAATGCCCCTCGGACTGCAAATAAACACATAGACAGGACATTTCCTGAACATATTGTTTAGCATTTAAAACTTGCACCAAAATGCAACAGATATTATATATTAATTCTTAATTCAAGAAAAGCTGAATATTAAAGACAAAATAAATGAGAAAAATCATGTCTTTTTGAATAACATTAGAAAAATACAGAAAATATGAGAACTACATTTGTGCAATGGCTAAAATTCTTTAAAGATGAAACATATTCAACTGAACTAAATGATTCTCATTTGGAATTAATTTTTTAGACCAATTATCTCAGTCATGTGTTGCACTGAGATTGAGCTAATGAAAAACTAGCTTCAGAAATATTTTTATTTGCTTTAATGCATATTCTAACTACTTTGATCAATTAAACGTGTTCCATTTGACAGATATGACCTAGAGAGGATGATGGAAAATATTTTCTATCAATAATACAATGCCACTGTATTAGTGATAGAAAATCATTCATATTCTTGCACTCATACATATATTTAAAGATGCTCTGTACACATACCAGATTTTCCTGTATACCGAATATTCTGGAATTCTGCATAGAATACAGCTTTCTCCAACATTCCAAGTAAGATAACTGTACCAATCCAAAACTGTATCCTTAGGAGGTCCCGCCAGTAGCAGGCTGACCATGCAAACCATAGAACGCCAAACAACACATATACAATACACATCACCATGAAGAACTATTAGAGAAAGAAAAACATGAGATGCAGTTTAAAGGATTGTTGCAAGCTGCTCTTTTCTAGCTGTTTATTTATATGAACAGATTCCTCCTAGATTTCTTTAATTCTGATACTTACAGAAATTTTATTTTATTGTATTTTATTTTTATTTAAATTTGTTACATTCAATAACACCAAAGTTCATTTATAGGTTTCATAGATCACAAGATTCAGCAGAATTAGAGCTACTATTCTTATTAATGTAATACATATAATCTTTCCAGATCTGGTAAAAATGCAATTCATCCCTCTGTGAGCTTAATATTCAAATTTTATCAGTAACTTTTCCAAGAAGAGCAACTGACCATACTTTAGTATCCATTTTCAATTGTTAAATTATTTAGGTACTTCCACTGTTGGACAATTATTAATTTAGTTGCCAGAAGTAAAAATATTAAAAGATCCTTATTACATAATTTATCATCAACTCCCTTGAAAATGTGATAATCCCAGTCCTGAGATGATCTACTATTTATTGTACTATTTATTTAATTTATTTAATTATAATTCTATCTATCCATCCATCCATCCATCCATCCATCCATCTGTCTATCGAATTTATGACAATTATTAATTTAGTTGCCAGAAGTAAAAATATTAAAAGATCCTTATTACATAATTTATCATCAACTCCCTTCAAAATGTGATAATCCCAGTCCTGAGATGATCTACTATTTATTGTACTATTTATTTAATTTATTTAATTATAATTCTATCTATCCATCCATCCATCCATCCATCCATCCATCTGTCTATCGAATTTATATAGCCACCCATCTTACAAGAAGTGACTCTGGGCAGTGTATAACAATCAAATGAAACAACAATTATATAAAAACAATCATTATAAAAATAAAAATATTCTCAATTCTTCAAACTTTTCTTCCAGAAAAGTGCCAATTTTTTTTCATAAGTCTACCACATTTGAAAAATGTTGCCTTCTGCTGACTAATCTTCCAACATTTTTTTGAGTAGCATTCAGAACTACTCATAACAACAACTTTAAGAGTTTATTTACACAGGAACTTAAAAAAAATCTGTCACAGAAAAAAAATTATCTCCTTCAAAAACATTTTAGCTAAATTTATCAAACAGGTAAAGTCAGGGCCAATATAAAGGTTCAGTGATCCTTCAGTGATGCTGCTGATAGGGCTCATTAGTGGTGGGGGCATAATCCCTACTACAAAAGATTCCCTCTACCTTCTCTTGTATAGTTCACCTTTTCCCCAGGAAGATCTGTATCACCTTCTTATTTGCCTAAGAAAAAAGAAGTAAATCTTCTATTGCTATTATCTGATAGCAGAACAAACCAGCATTTAGAGAAGAGGCATTAAAAAGACAAGAAACTGCACTGGCCTTTATGGGACTCTTTGAGGGCTACACAAAAGGGCCAACCTGGGGACTTAGACAATGGCAAGACGTATCCTCCCACATGTACTTGTATGCCCTACTCGTTCTCTCTATATATGCACACACTCAAGATTGCTGGGGGAGGAATGATCCCAATGCAGGGAAGACTGTGGACAAGCAGCAGCCTTGCTAAGGATCACTGAGAGGGCAGAGGGGAAGATCAGACTGTCTCTCCACTGCTATTACAGCAGGGTGACTGGAATCTATTCTTCAGGTAGCTGATGTCCAATTGATGAAGAAAAGACTGATGGGTATCCCAAGCCTCTACAGGGTGAAAGAGAAAGTAGCTGGGGCCACATTTTGTTGACCACTTCTTTGCGCACAAAAGAGATATAGCACAGTAATGTGCTCATTATATAACATGGAGGAAATGGCATTTTATGACAGAAAAAATCAGCTTGGAAATGAAGCAGATTTTCAGAGACAATATAGAAAAGGAACTACAATGTGGACCTCTGTAAGAACTTCAGGTTTTTCATTTCGCAAGCTGCTTGTTTTTATTCTTTCCAATCCAAAGGAATGTTGGAAAGAAATTACGGAACAAGGCCTGGAACTATCTCTACTGTCTGTCCATCAGCAAGATACTTTCCAAAATTCAAAAGGAATTGGACCGAATGTGGTGGGTGGGGAGAAACCAGCAAAATAAAGACTGAAATCATAAATGGGCTGTATCCGGCTGGGGGCTGCAGGGAAAGAAAAAAAAATTCAGAACCCCCCCCATGCATCCCTATGGGAGAGGCAATTGATCAATTACCACCTCTTCCGTTCTAAGCCCTCCTTATCATGTGACCAAAAGCGGCATTATTATTGAAGCTTTGAAAAGAATTCCAGAAGCCATGCTCTGCATGCTTTCCTCATCCTATTACAAAATCCGTTGAGACAACTTATTTCCATAATACTCCTCTCTAGCTCCCGCTTACCTTTTTTTCCATTTGCTATTCTAATCATTCACTGTAACCTCTAATCAATCCCAAATTTTCTGTGCATTTGAAACAGGCAGTAAACTGTCTAAGCCAACCCCTCCCCTCATTTCTGTGCTCCCCTCACATTGACTAACACTGATACTACATAAACATTAACTAGTAATAGCTATAGATTCTGATCCCTAGCTTATCCCCTTTCCATCCCTATCCCAATGCTGTATCTTTCACTGTAGTCTGTTGAGATGATTTTGGCAGAGGTGGCACCAAGGAGCAAGTCATTCAGATTTATGAAAAAAAGGCTTCACTACCAATTAAAAAGTCACAGTAACTTCTGCTTGTACTTGAATCCAACTACACATCATTTACAGCAAATAATTGCATTAACTTACAATCATAAGAGGATAATCTGCTAGAGAAAGGTATTCATATGGTCCAATCACTTCCACAGTCACTGTCAGAAAACAACCAGGGAAGAGAACAAGAAATTAGGACTATAGAAGAACAGCTTTGCTTGATGGTAACCCCCACGCCTTTTAAATACGGCACCCAGTTTCCCAAAGCAGCAAATAAATGCCACTGGGAAACACATAAGGGAGTAGACCTCTCCCAATGTCAGCAACTTCAAACACATGATGTCTCTGACAATGGTGATATTATATGGCTATTATGTGTACTAGCCACTAATAGCCTTATCTCCAATTAATCTGACCAATTCATATTTTAAAACCATCTGAATTGGTGATCATCATCCTATGTTGTGGTTCTAAGTTCCACAGGCTGAATAATGTATTTTCTTTAGTAGATACATGGCTTTTGGGATCTGGAATCTCTGACTATTCAGTTTATTTAGCTCCTCCTGAGATGGGGAGGGGGGAAGGAGGGGGGATATTTATGAACAGTACAAGCAATTGCTAAGATTACCTCCCTATGACCTTCTCCAATGCTGGGGTACCAGCTAAGAAGGATTCATCATATTCACTTTTTCCTCACTGTGCATGATAGAATAAAATCTTACCACCTCATGTCAAAGCCTTCGACAATATATTACCACTTCATTTTTTTCTCTGAACTAAAAGCCCCAAGTGTGTAGCTGGCTTCCCATGGGAAAGTTACTCCAGACACGTGATAATTTTGATTTCCTTTTTCTGTCCCTTTTCTTGCTATGGAATTTTCTTTTAAAAATCACTGGAGGCATGGTGAAAATTCTACTTATTATTGCCAGCCTTAAGACTCAAAATGTGCAATGGACTGCCAAGGGTGTGATTAGTATAAGGAGCTTTTTCTAGACATTCCATTATAAGCATCAATTTTAAAAAAAAAATCTGGGAGTCTTCTTTAATTCACTATTGGGTTAAGAATCTCTCTCTTGCTTAGAGATAAAAGGGAGCCTCACATGGAGAAAACAGGGGGGAAACAGTAAAAAGCTTATTAGAATCTATAGTAACCTAATATACTTATTTAACTATAACTAACTAAAAGAAAACAAAAGTAGTTAAAATATACAAAAATAATATAAAATTGAAAAGGGCAGGAGCATGGAAAAACGTGTGTTGCTGCACTGCTGGGTTGGCCCCACTCTCCAGGGGAAAAACAATCTGCAGCTATTGCTACTTATAAGTGCCTATAGTCTGGTTTGAAATAAATAAAAGATCTTGCCTATTTCCCCTTCTACAGATAATCAGACAAGAGCTGGTATCCCTAACTGCACTAGCAGTGACTCTAAGACACACTCTTAAACATCAGCATGTAACATCTAACTTAATAAACAAAGTTCCAAAATAAATGAACTACACATGGCTCACTGGTAAATGGTGCTTTTGGTTGATCATTAGAAGCCATAACATTTGTCAACTCATCGTTTGTTCCTTTAATATTCGCTCCATCCTTTGAAGATGAAATATCAACCTTTACAATAAAGATATATGGCCCATCTTGCCATGTTTGCATTACAGCATTCATTGCCTAAAAAGCACATAATTGTAAGTTACCACACAATGCAAGATTGCAAGGAATATACATTTCTCCTGTGTCAACAACATTACTTCAACAAATTAGATGTAATCTGAACCACAAAACAATACTGTTTGTGTTATTCTGTGTTCTATAATGTCAACATTAAACATTTTCATACTCTGATTTTAATAGGAAAGTATGAAGCACAGAAGTTATGGGATGCATCTCCTACTCAGTCAATGAATCATGCAGACAGGAGAGTTACTCAACCAAACACAAATATGACAACTCTGTCCACTATATTGCAAATACATCACCTTTCACATACTTACAACATTCTCTGCTAGTGTAGTAGTGTTTGTTCCATTCTCTTTCCTATCCTATTTAAGGCAAAAGTAGATTTGGTCAAAAGACCAAAAATATATTTGTAAATTAAAATTCACATGCATTAATAATTTTTTATAAATACCTCTTTTCTGCCTAAGGCAGCTGGATGAACAAATTCACTGTAGAAACGCTAAGAAAAGATCAACAATTGTTTTTAGTTATATTGATATGTGTATATATATACATATAGCAAATAGGCAGAATATAACATCTCTGAGATTACAATGTCAAAGGACAAGGAACTGAATTCAGGAAATAAGTCTGTTTATGTTCATGTATGTATTCTAAATCTGATGATACAAAATGAAATGTTGTTCTGAGGTAACAGTCCTACCACCTAGCATGTACTCACAATCAATCAAGGAATGCACTGCTAATAAATTAGGAATAAAAGATGCATCCTGAACCATAGCTTCTACATGAGAGTATTCATCCCCTCTATCAACCATTTTGACTTATATGTCATCACATTTAAACTGATTTTTACTCTATAAAAGATTTTCATATTGTAGAACCAGGCTTTTTCAACTGAAGTCTCTGGGGTTAATTGGAAATTTAACCATAAATAGATCAGTTGCTGCAGTCATATTTTGCCCACCTCTCCTGATCCTTCTTTGCACTGCACAGGCACAGAAGAGTATTGCATGTGTATACAACTGAATGTGTACTGTAGAACAAGGATAACTAACAGACTAGGAACATCCTTCCCAATTTCAAGTATTCAACTTTTGCATATGGCAGGCATTTCTTTAATTTCTTAATTAAAGAAGCCTCCATCCCAGTCTCTGGACAGATTTATAGTACCTATTTCTCAAATCAGGATCAACTAGAGACAAGGGGAAAATGCAGATGTTGTAATCAGAAAAAAGGAATCTGGTCCCTGAGCCTTCTGACCTCTAAAATCCTTATAGCCATAAGAAGTTGGCCACCCCTGACTTGATCAGCTGCAGAATTTTTAAAATCTGCTGTGAAAAGATAACCAGGTAATAACAGGTAACAAGCAAGGACAAACACAACAATGAATGAATCAATCAATGGACATTAATACAATCATAGCCAAAGAGACAGAAGCAAGTTATGAGATTTTAGGCTGAATCCAAAATTATGTAATCCCTGGCAAATGCAATGGAGCTTCACAGTTCTGGATCACTGACAATGTGATATTAAATATATTAAATATGTGCTGACACCTTATAGAGGATGGAAGGATTTCAACAGGGGTTGATCATAAATTAGGTTTGGTCAGTTCAGGAAATAATTTGTGATATATTTCATATATAAATATGTTATTTAGTTGATTATAATGACACATATATGGTACTTTTAATAATAATTCTTGGGCTCAGAAGTATTAAAATGCAAATCAAACAGATCCAAATAATCTTGCAAACATAAACTTCAGTTAAACAAACCCTACAAATATGAAAGTTTTATTTCACTTGTATCTTTTCACCTCCTGAGAAGCTCATATGCTTCAGTATTTCAAGATATCTTCTTGTAAAAAAAGCAGGGCATGGATTTTCAGACAAATAGGCAAACACCAGTGGAAAAAGCTAATATATGTAGCCTTAATTCACCAGAAAGATTTAAGTAACAAATGCACCCCTCAATAAAACTGCCATAAGCTCTGCACCGTCCCTATATCATACCTGTGGCTTGAAGAGCTCACTACAGTTGGGGAAGTGGAATTCAGACATAGCGTAGTATCCTGACCAACCTGTATGTTGTTCTGAAGTGCTTTGAAAATATAGATTTGTCTGATTATCCTGTCAAGACACATGACATGATTTCAACTAGCTATATTAAGGGACAAAGAAGTCAGTAAACAGAAAACTGAAAAGAAAGATAACAGTATTTCTCACTAAAAATAATGATTCAGAGCATCTCTAATTAAAGAGAGCAAATAGCACTGTATGAAAAACTTCTCTTTCCAGCCTTGAAAAGTCTCAGTCAGTGGAGACAATATTAGGAAAAAATACACAGATAATTCAATGACATATGGCCATTTCGCATACTCCTGCTTGACATTGCTGAGGAGCAGACATGCAGCACCTTAAATCTAAAACCAAAGAGATGTTTTGGAGCAGGCATGGGTGCATACACTAAACATGTTGGCTCCTTCTTATATAGCTGGTCAATCCCAAGAAAATATGAGAAGAAGGACCTCCTTAACTCGGTGTGTGTTAACTAAGGAGGTGCTGACAGGCATAGCATGAGCTCCCAGACCCACTCTGAAGTTCTTTTTGGCTTTGCAAAACGCTGCATATCTCTGTGAAAGAACATGGTACGTACAAACTGAGAAAGTAAAAAATCCATGTTCTTAAATACTATATCTATTGTTATTCTAGGAGCTAATTACAGTGGTACCTCGGTTCACGAACGCTTCTGTTCATGAACAATTCGGTTCACGAACAGTTCCGGCTGCAAAATTTTGCCTCCATTCGCGAACGCCGGATCGGGTTACGAACAGGATCCGTGGCCATTTTCCCTCCCATGACATGTGGTCGCGGCTTCCTGTAGGGAGGGGGACTCTCCCTCCAAGCAATATCCGCCTC